TTCCAACACCAAACAATATGCAGCCACATAACGCGCATGTGGAAACTATATCTGCCTCCATGCAGACTTTGGAATGCAGAGCTGGGGATGGATTGCACTTAATGCATAGGGGTGGAAACTGAGGAGTAAACTCATAAATGTGATAGTTTGTAAACCAGATGAAAAGATACCTAAGAAACAAGTCAGGCAGAGGTACGTCCTATAGTTAGGGCAGGGGTAGTGTAATGAAGGCCATTGGGAGGTCATATCCTTGATTAGATATTGGGGGATTGCTCTACTTAATTTTTCCTAGGGTATTTTTTTGGTTTACACTAACAGTAACAAAGTTGCAAGAAGAGTTATTTCAGGTCATTTGTCAGCCTAAACCCCTTCACGACCCATGATGCGATAATCCCGTGATGAAGTTTGAAGGCGTTAAACAGACCCTAAAAGCCGCTGGGAGTCTGTTCAGTTTTGTAGAGTCGGCGACCAGCTTTAAAGTAGAGGCGATTTTGGCGCCAAATTGCTTCTACAATCCTGTAACCAGGCCACCGCCCTTCCTGCCCAACATCCCCACCTTGTTTCCTGGGATCCGCTGCCCCTCCTACGGGCCCAGGACCACCTTGCCTGGTGTCGGCGGGAAGCTGGGGAGTAGATCGGTGAAATTTTCAGGCCTAAATTGTGGATTTTAACATGGGTGCAAAAAATTAAAAAAAAAGGCCTTTGTCCTTGAAAGGTTATTAAACCCTCTGTATTTTTTGGCATATATCTACTGTTAGCAAGCAGTAGATAGATGCAAAAACTTAAACTCTTTAAAAGAGGTTAAAACTTGCCTGTGTCTTTGCGCGCGCTCCCGTCTGATTATCTGAAAAATCTCGGGCAGCCGCAAAGGATCTTGAGGCAGGCGCATGCGCAGTTCAGATTTCGCCCGGGAGACGCAAGGTAAGTCTATTGGACAACGTGCACCCGCATGCAGACACTGTGGGACAGGAAGTGCCAGCAAGCACAGAGGAGTCAGCACTGGATCAGAGACAGGCAGCAGCGCTGGAGGGACAGCTGAAAATGACAGGAAAGAAGAAGATTGGATTAAGAAACATCATATTTAGTGTAAGTGCTTACACTGACATTGGGGGGAGGGGAAAACATTCTACTTTAATGTCAATTTAAGGGGTTGAAAGAGATATATATGTCAGCACACGTATATGTGTGAATTTTCTAAGGTGCACCTTCTTTAGCACAAAGGAATCTGCCCCTACCATGAAAAGGCCAGTTGAGTTGTGTTTCCCTCCCAAGCCAAAAGCCCCCAGCACTTCCCAGTTATTGATGGTACAGATATTTGGCCCAGGAAGCAGATTTTATGGCTAATAAATATACAGTAGTTAAAGCTGATGATGTTCTCAGCCAAAGTATATAAGCTAAAATGAGGGTTTAGCAAAACAGAGATGTTTTGGTTTGTAATTTAGTGACAGTTGAAAAGTCTGTGCCCTGACAAAAGGCTTTCACTTGCTTCTTTAGATTTTTCTCCACATTTGCATACATATGTTACTTGCATCCAATTTTTTTTTCTTTATTAAATTGACACTAAATTTAGCAGTTAAAGAAGGATTATAGGAAGAGTGAAATGGACTCATCTCCAAAATTAGAACTGACGTGTGACACTGATGTTGTGTCACATTGGCTCTACTGAGCGATCACACCGCGGATCACTCAGTTCCTGATCTTCTCCCTCCAGAGAGAGGTGACTGGCGGTCACCACCCCCCACAGGGATCCCCCCTCCAATCCTCCAGTGCTGACTGAAGGGACGGATGGGTTAGGGGATGGGCACAGCTGGCTCTGCTTCTAGAGAGGCAGAGCCAGCTGTCAATAAGGTGGCGGTGTGGATCCTGACAATATTGTGCTGCCAGCATAGTTTTGGGTCACAGGAGGACATTAGTAAATGTCCTCCTGTGACCCTAAAGTGAACTATTGCAAAAAAAAAAAGGTTGGGCCATAGTTCTCTTTTAAACCTTAAAAATCCATCAAAAATGTATCTTCTTTTTGTATATCACTCGGCTGTAGATCCTCCAAAGATCTCTGAATTTGTCCTGAGACTGTGGAGGGTGGCTACTTTTGTTCCCCATGGTCCCTGTGTGTGTTTGTGTTTGTAAAGCCGCTCCAGGCTCACTCCCATGATGGACTACAATCTCAATACAAATTAGCTAACTAAATGTGAGATTGTAGTCCATCACGGGAGCAAGCTTACAGCGGTGGCTACTTTACAACACACACAGGGACCATGGGGCGCAAAAGTAACCTCCCTCCAGAAGGAAGGACAGTGTCAGCATGAATTTAGAGATGATTTGAGGATCTACAGCTGAGCGATACACAAATAAAGATACATTTTTGTTAATGGTTAAGGTACTTGAATCCATTTCACTTTAATTGTTATGGTACTGAGTTTAGTGTCACTTTAAAGATGATATAACCTTGTGAGCCTTTGTCATTGTCACTTTTGCTGCACAATTTATGAAGAAAAATATAAATAAAGGCATATGAAATTTAAAAAAAAAAGCAATGTATACTATAACAAGTGATAACCGCCAACTGTTCAGAATACAATCTATATCGTTTTCGCAATAGTGATCCTTTTATTAACCTCTTGCCGTCCGCCCGTAGTAAAAAAACGGACGGACGGCACTGCAGCATCTGCGGGTTGCCGTCTCCAGACGGCAATTTTTTTCTGCTCGCGCGCGCCCCCTAGCGGGCACGCACGGGCAGAAAAGACCCGCTAAATGCACACACCCGTTACCGGGTGTTTCACATATAGGCGATCGGCGGGTCCATAGCCCGCCGATCGCCTATATGTGCTCGTTCGCGGCACCCCCCCCCCCAGGGTTGTTATCCCCCTATATAATAGCAATACCAATAAGTGCAAAAAAAATAAATATAAATAAAAAAAAATAAAAGTAACACATAAAAAAGTAAAATAAAATAAAAGTCACATATAAAAAAAGGGGAAAAAACCCCCCCAAAATGTTTAACTCCCCCACCCCCACGTTTACGCGCCTATAAACGTAAATACGCGTCCGGTGCCCCAGCGCGCAAAAATTACAATTGCGCTACACATGTTACATATCGCCGCGAACGTCGCAGTGAGAGCAATCATTTTAGGGCCATCAATCACTGATAACACTAAACTGATGAGCGGTAACAGCTTTTAAAGCGTCGCCTAGGGCCAATTTTGGGTATTATCGTTTTTTGAGGTTTCGCGCGCGCACGCAATTTTAAGGCTTGACATGTTTAGTGTCTTTTTACCCGACGTGACCCCATCTTTTATATTTTACCAAAAAATTGGGTAATAATAAATGTTTTATCATTTAATATAGGGGAAACTGTTTTTTTTTTTAAATTTCGGTAATTTTTCCTTAATATAGTAAAAAAATAAAACCCCCAGTGGTGAATAAATACCACCAAAAGAAAGCTCTATCTGTCCCCAAAAAAGGGTATAAAATTCATTTCAGTACAGCGCTGCATGACGGAATAAATGTCAGTCAAAGTACCGCAGCGCTGAATACTGAAAAATGGCCTGGATGGGAAGGGGGTTTAACACCGCGGATGTCAACTGGTTAAAATGAGATTATTCTGTGAAAGGTTCAAAGTGGAAATATGGATGTTGTGCTCTCACCAATTAGATTGTTGCTTCCTTGTGTTACTATTTATTGTAAAACATGACAATTTGAAGGTGCTTTTAATAGGCAACAATACTTTTCTCTTTCCTGATTTCGTGATTCATTAAAATACACATACATGTATTTTCTCAGATGTGGACCCATTTAAAAGCTGAAAAGCTTCAGGTAGAGACCATTTTCTTGCTGTGCAAGTTATGTATACAGCTTGGCAGCATTTCTAATGAACTGACGAGCAGATAGCAGGTGGTTGGAGTGTATTTAGATACAAACAAATCCACCCACTGGCTGCTAATTACAGGCTTCATATCTGTCAGTTTGGAGCAGTTGTAGCAAAATAAACAGGACTGGCTGGAATATTTAAAGCGTTAACGCAAATATATATATATATGCCCAAATCTGTCCTGTAGCCTTTATGTTTTTGGCTTTGTACACCCTTCCTACACCACTCAGTCCCCCTGCTGCTGTTGTAATCTGTGACCAATCAGTGTAAAATTCCAACAGACACCCACAACTCAGTTCCTCAGCTGCCTGTGACTTGCTACTGTAAATATTCATCATGGTCTCTCACAGATTAGCTCCCTTGCTGCATATTACTTTGTGACCTCCTTAAACACTACACTGAAAAGGGTGACTGCTTGCTTAGCTCAATGACCACTTTTTACATAAGGGAGTACAATTTTTCTCCATAATATACGTTTACTGATAGGTCTACTTTAATTATTTGGTATTGCTTAGGCATGGTTATCTCATTCTGGGTACTGAAATTACAGTAATGTCATGTGAAGTTCACCAACTGACCAAAGTATCACTAATACGTTGTTCTTGCATATGTAAAGCATAGAAGTATGCTAAAAGGAAATCCCCTGCTAAAGTTATATTTACATTATATATGTAATCTGTTGGGTTGAGTTACCCTTCTATCTCTTGGAACTCCTGAGAAGATGATCTGCCAGTCATAGTATCTGTCTCTGTTCCTGAGTTTTAGGGTGTTCTCACCCATCATTGTATGCTTCTGCTTTACCTCCTTTTGAATCCTTCATAATATAAAATACATGCCCAATAGGAAGAGTAGCACCCTTTTTTTATGACTTCTGCAGGTACAAAGCCCAAGTAACTCCAGCTCAAAGATCTTGACACCAGTCCTAGAAAGAGTAATACGTTGGGTTTTGCTCTCACATTTACCAAATGCTAAAATGTGATTTGACCCATTGTGCGCTATCCTACTAGTCATGTGTTATTCATAAAAATATTTTATGTGTTCTTGGCATTATACTGTTGTGCACGTGTAGATGAGTTTTACAATGAAAATAAAAAATTGTTTACTTTTTTGTTATTTCCCTCTGCTTTTGTAGATTTCCCTCCACCACCACCTCCACCACCAGAAGAAACAAGTAGTCTTTCACATTCGTCTGTTGCTGGAAGCTTTCCTCCTCCACCTGCTCCTGACGAAGCAATGTTCAATATTCAGGTAACAAATGGTGACAGACTGGAACCACACATGTTAACAGTCCATATATTAAGCCTTTAAGCGTATGTTAAGCCAAAAAAAATGTCTTAGTTTTAAATAGCGCACGGAAAGGTTAGAACCCTGGTTAGATTTTTACTGCTATCACTGGCTCCTGTCTTGCTGACAACATTGTACCAGACAGGAAGTGAGCAGAACTCAACAGCAGCACAGACAGATATATCTCTGTTGCAGTTTTCCCAAATGTTCTGTGTGGTGAAACACTTGTCAGCAGAACAGGAAATTAAGGTAAATCTCTCTATTGAATCCTCCAAATACCAGTAGACCTGCAACAGAGACTCTAGTCCTTTCCCACTCTGTTCACAAATAGAAAAAAAAAATGGACTTGATGAAATCAATGTAAATCCCATTCACTGGTTGTTCAATGCTAAACAGTAGGAGTTGTGCTGCTGCTGGAGTGCTCGGAACCGCTTGTTCTTTTTTTTTGTTGTGACACAGTTCCAGCCTTTGAAAGTTTATTGCTTTCAAGGGGCTTTTGGTGTGGTGCCAATAAAGTCGAAAGTTTCAAACTCTTCAGCAGATTCATATTTACTATTCACAGAAAGGCTTATTGACCGCAATCTGAGTGGAGCGATCCTATTATTTTAGCCTTTGGGCCCACAGTGGATTGGTCTTTTTATTTTACCATACCTCCCTATTTTTCTAATCAGGTGACCTAAAGCAAAACTCCAGGCAAACTGCTAAATACACAGATGAGAACATGTATGTCTTCTGTCCATTCATTTCTGAGCTATATATACAAGCCTGCCAGACAAACAAACAAGCCACCTGCACTCAATTCATTTAGCCTTTACAAATCTTTATTGTTCCAGGACAGGATCACATAAAAGTTCACCCATACCAAGCCTCATTCTGACAAGTTTTACCTAAAAAGAGCTTGATCATAGAGATGTTTAAGCCTTTTTTAGTAAAACATGTTAAGAGTGATGCTTGGTCTGGGTAGACTGGTGGTCTTGTCCTTGAACACTAAAGCTTTGTGAAGGCAGCATTCTGATGAGCCCGTTCCCCTATCTGTCAGCATGCGTACAAGTACATGTGATTAGCTAATTGTGCTGCTTCTTTAACTCTGAGCTCTGCTGTACAGGGGATTGCATGAGACTGCTACTAAGTTAAACTATTATTAAACTTTCAAACTTTTTTCAATCATGAATCCAGTTGAATCAAATATACATTGCCCGGCAAAGTATGCCTTTACATTTTTGCCCAAGTACTTAAACTCACTATGTTTCCAAACAGCTGCTCCAACTCTCTTAGCTTGACTTCCCTGAACTTCCTGTCTAGTACAAAATCACAAAGGAAAGCTTAGTCTCCAGCAGATGCCCATCTACTGGCTTACAGAAGGGAGAAGGAAGGAGGAGAGTGGAGCAGGGGAGTGTCTCGCCTTGCAGGTTTTTTTTTGTTTTTTGGAGTCACGCACACACAGCTTATTAGCGCACACATGAGGGTGGCCCCGTAGAACCCTGCAAGAGAAAGAAGCCACCCTGAAACAGGATATCAGGGCCATAGCTCAGGGGACCAGCTGATTCTGCAGGAAACTAACAGGTCTATTCACTAAAGGGTTTAAAGAAGGCAAAAGAAGAAGGGTGGCGTGGCCGGGATGTGAAGCAGCGCGGACGTGACTATTGGGGGTTAGGGAGACACACACTTTTCCAGGGGGAGGGTGGGAGAGGTTATTTTGGTTTGTTTATAAGGTACCAACCCCCATGGATGGAGTTGGCCTGGGGGGGGCTGAGGGGTTGCACCTATTGTGTGCTCGCACGGTTGTGTGAGCAAATGTTGTTAATTGTATAAAACTTCAATAAAAATAATTTTTCAAAAAAAAAGGCAAAAGAAGTGAACAATCTAGGCCAAAATAGCTGATTGAAATTCTCCAATTCAGCTCACTTTCCAGTTCAGCTATGCTGTCCTAGATTGCTCACTTCTCCTACCTTCTCCAAACTCTTTTCCCTTTAGAGAATAGCTCTGTAAAACTTTTAAACATCAAGGAGCAGCATCCATTGTCCGTGATTTCATCAGTATTTGAAATAACTTAAAAACTTTTTGACTTTAATATCATTTTTTACATTTAGTTGCTTTTAAAAACATGCAATATTTTTAAATATATACACAAAGGTGTTTTTATCTGCCAGGAGTTTACCTTTAAATTATAATCATGTTTATTTCTATCTATATAAAATGCAGTTCTCTATACTTCCCATCTCTCGAGTTTAGAATCTAACATTTTACATGAACCACAAGCTGTTCAATGTGTTGATTGGGATAATTTGTACCATGCACCTTCAGAGAAGTGATATGTAAGCCATTCCTACTTGCTCAACTGCAAAATGCCAGTGGGAAGGACCTATTTAATGCTGGCAGTACCTGTAAATCCTTGGTTTACATGTAGAATGTACATCGTATTGCTGACTTACTAAATGAGTGTTATGAGATGTTATAAATCTCAAATACCATTTAATAAAGTGCTTGTAGCTCGACAACTGTAAACATGATTAGCATGACTTGTTAATTGCACTAAAAGATGAACATTTCATATTTAAAGTAAAGCAAACTTTCCCATGCTAGGTAGGATGTTTAACACCTAGTTCTACAAAATTGGGGTGGGAGCTTGGGGCATATCACATGCTGCATAATAAATGCATACCAAGGGCAGTGCCCAAATTTTGGTAAGAAATCATTAATGATGGGCGATTTCTGTAACCGATTTCTCAAGTATGCACAATTATGCAACATCCAGGAATACACCTTCATAAATGTTGTTGTTTATTTTTTCTTTAAGGCAGGGAAAAAAACAAATGATGTAGTGCAAAGTGCAGTTGCAATTTAAGTTAATTGCTTTTTACTGTAGTAGGATCAGTTAAGAGATGATTTCTGATTGATGACTGTGAGTTATCGTACTTTGCCGTACTGAGTATCAGTAATGAAAACACGTTACTGTGATTACGGGAACACTTACAGTGGACCTAGCATGACATGTATTTTTTTTTTTTTGTTAAGTGAAGGAACATGTTAATGCCTGTTTACATAATAGTGCTGCGGTAAATACCCGGTATCCATGCTGTTTGCACACACTATCACATAGGGCACCTGGCGTGCGGTACCGTGCGCTACGTGCATTGTGTTGCCATTCATTTGAATGGCACGCCAGCATACCTTGCGGCGGCCATGCCTTGCATTGAGAAGAAGTACAACATGCATTATTTTACCAAACATGGTCACCGGGAGGTGCAGTGGGGTGCCATTAGCGCACGATACCACACATTAGGTGTGCTGTGCCATAGTGTGCGCTAAACGCAAAGGGCAATGGTATGAGACATGCAGATATTTATTATCTCTTAAAGAGACAATCAAACTTTCCAAGAATTCATATGTTTTCTATAGTTGTCATAAAGCCAGCACCGTCTTTGAGTTGAAGGGTAAAGTCCCCTCATTTCTGGTTACGGCGTTCTTTGCATGGAAAGTTAATGTTTGTTGGGCCTTGCAACATGAAGCTTCTGTCTCCCTAAAACTGTAACCGGTCCTCTGATCACACTTTTGCCAGGTAGACGTACAGGCCTCTGGATACTAGCTTTGGCCTAAAGAATCTTCTGACGGCCCTCTATATTGTGGGCCTTTTCTGTTATAGTTCCTTGTTGGAATGTGTGTTATCTCTCGGGCCCTTTAGTAAGTGTTTGCTGTTTTGCCTGCCCCTCTGTTGGATTGCTTTTGAACATCCCAGTGTTTCTAAGAATTAACTCCCTGTGATGTGCAATCAAGATTTTTGTCTGTACAATCCATTTCTTGGAGTACATCGCAATACACAGTATCCTTCCCCTCTGTCTTATTTGATTCCACTCTGTACTGCTTGCTACAAAACTGAGCCAGGATGGAAGTGGAAGTTGCTCTACAGGGCTCTCTTGCAGCTTTGATTGATTTGCCACTGTGCTATCACCTGAAGGTGAAGCTGCATCACGTTTCTGTTCAAGATTGAATGCCCTGTGTCCTGTATGTCACTGCCGTGTACATACACTATGATATAAGAAGAGAGATACCTTTTAAAGCTGAACTCCAGGCAGATATAAAAGACACAACAGTGAATGCAGTTCTGTATTCATTAACCCAATATTAAATACAAGCAGTGTAAGTACATGAATTTGACTTGGTTTCAGTGTTTTATAATCCCTAGACAGCAAAGCTCAGGGTGTGATGGGAAGAAGCAGCACAAGAAGTCAATCAGTTCATATTCTGACAGGGAGCATGCTAATAGGAGGACAAAGCAGAGTGACAAAAAAAAGATGAGCTCATTACTGTGCTGCTTATTCTTCACTGTCCAGTTAGAAACAGGGGACAGGCCCATTAAAGCCTAGGCTCAGAAGAAATCGATTGAATGATGCTGGCTGTTATTTAACCTGGAAGACTGAGGACATTTAGCAGTGGAATAACAGTCCTGCCACAGACGGCTATGAATTAAAGCTGATTATTGGTGCAAAAGCAGTTTTTATGTTATCTTTTGATTCGGTTTATTTTTATTCGTTTTTATTCGTTTTTTCATTTGACTGGAGCTCTGCTTTAAACTTGATCATGGTGTTTTTTTAGCACTTTCTGATTAAGTGCATCTGCGTGAAATGCTTTACAATCTCTGTTAGTTTTTATATCCACATGTATAGCTCAATATACCAAAGATTTTGGGATTGGAGCTTCCTCTTATCTGGATTGTTACTCTCAAACTCCCAGGGCAACTGCTGCCAATTGTGCCACAACAAAATTCCTTTCTGACCCCTCGGGGCAATCGAAGCAACTCCGTTTTGTCCTATGATAGGTTTGATTTTAACCCCTTCATGACTGAGTAACAGCCCCGATGCTGGCGACGTACACTGTACGTCGTCAGTCACGAAGGGGTTAATGTAAGGTGAGCATAGATGAGCATGTGTTATTAAAAACAGTACAAAATCATGAAAGTCGTTTTGTGATAGTGTTAAAAGTCTTAGGCCCTGTTCACACCTTTACGTTTTGTCACGCGTTCAAGGCTATGAACGCTCTACAAAACGTACAAACATGAAAATCCCATTGTTTTCTATGGGTATGGTTCACACCTTTCCGTATTTCCGCCCGTCTGAAACGCCCTACAAAACGGCCTACGCTCAAACAAGTACATGTACTTCTTTGGGCCGTTTTTGTTGGGCGTTTCCATTGGGATACAGCCAAGTAGCCCTCGGAAACACGCGTTTGTCACGCTGTTTTTTTACCGCAGATCGTGGTTAAAAAAACGCGCGACAGACGGGCATATTCAATACGCCTAGGTGTGAACCCAGCCTTAGGTTATAATTCCTTGTGTACAATGTTTGCATATTAGCAAGTCAAAACTAGTATACCAGTCTGAGGTTTGTAATGCATGGAATGCCCTAAACAAAATTACATTCATTAGATGTGACAGCGACTAACTGGGCAATTGTCTGTCATTTGCCCAAACGTCCCTAAGATTAGAGAACTGATTGCAGACTTGTATACATCTGTAAACCATCTGCAGGAGCAGTGCTCAGCCACTCATGAAGGGATGACAATCCAAACTATACATAACAAATGAATACCGTACGTGATGACATTACAGCTACGAGCATCAAAATAAGAATGTCATGGTGACAGATATTCTTGCTGCAAAGATGCTTCTAGTAGCCTTGGGAGAAGAAAGAAGGACAGTGCAGTAAAACTGTCTTCTGTTTAAAAATAATATGGACATTTACATAATGCATTATATAAATGATATTATTGCTACCTGCAAAGGGCATCATGGAAAAAGAAGCTTGTAAACTCCAATGTCCCTCGAGAGAAGCACAAAATAGTTTTGCTTTTCTGAAGATCTGGTCGGGAAATGACTCTTGCAATGAATGTCTAACACAATGTGGATTAATATGGGTGTTATTAGCACCTAGAGTTCTAGATGAACAATTTCTCTGGTAAACTGCCGTGTTCTCATTATGATAAGGGGCAGAACGGTTAATATGTTGTCTGTTTATACTGCCCCTTGCAGCAATGCCTGCTTTGTTTAATAGGGCATAGAGACACGATTACTATCGTTCACAATACAGCTACTTTTATGTGAATAATTTTGGTCTACCATTCAAAAACCAAAGCCCTTAGACCTTGTATATACAGGCTTCAGTATGTTTATGTACAGCAAGCTTTTACAAAGTATTTGCAAAGCTTTCAGCAAGCTGCAGGCAGCTTTGCTAAAACCTTTAAAGCAATATTCAATTTTGTTCCAATAAGGGAATGCAAAACAAAGTTCTTTGTAGTAGTGCTCACAGTCACTTTAAACAAGATGCTAGCAGGCGTTCAACAAGCTTTATACAGTGCTGAAGCTTCCTAAGTTTGGTACAAAAAAGAAGGCTGCTAAGCTTAGCATTTCTGGAGTCCCCTAAATAATACCTATCTTGACCAAAAACAAGGTACTAAAGTATGCCAGCAGCTTTCTTTTAACCACCAAACACCAAAAACTATATATATAAATGTTGGCAGTTGCAAATTTTTATGTTGCACAATATTAGCGCAACTCTTTTTATCGCTAAAAATGCACTTACGTTACTTTTAGTGCCTAAGCATACAAGATAATACACATTTTGTTATTTTTTAAATAAGAGGAGGTTACGCCGAGTAAATAGATACCCAACATGCCCAGGTTAAATATTGCGTGCATATGTGAAACGCCTAAAAACTGTCCATAGGCAACACTTTAAAAGCTAGTACAGGTCATCAGTTTAGTGTTACCCGTGAATATTGTCCCACGAATTATTGCTACCACTCTGGAGCACACGGAGGTACCCAACATGTGTGGCGCGATAATCATTTTCATACACAGGCGCACCTGATGTGTTGACGTTATGTTAACAGACGTGCTTGTTGGGGGACTTAAGAATAAAATTAATGTAATTTTTTTAAATTTTTTTTTACTTAATTGCTATCACATAGGGGGGTTTACAAGCCCCCTATGTGATGGCATACTAATGGTGACAGGTCTAATAGATCCCTAGTGTCGCCTTTCCACTCCAAATAAGGTATTGGAGCGCAGCCTGCACTCAATAGCTTATTGCCCGGCTTTGGCAGCTGAGGGACTGGAAATGATGCACTCAGCATTGCTTCCAGTACCATACGGTGGGGAGGAAATAGGCAAATGGATGTTCACTGGTCTCCTTCCCCGCTTCCTGCCAAAACCCCTGATGCCGGTCCCAGGGCAGCAGAGCCGAGGAAGCAAGGCGGGGGTGGGACGCACTTCAACAGCCCCTGGATGCAATCTGACAGAAGCTCAGCTCCCAGAAATGCTTTCAGTGTAAAGCAGACTCTCAGCTTTACACATGTAAATCGAGTCCCAGCAGCTATAGCTGTTTAAAGTGGCCCGCTTCCAGCGACATATGACATACGTTGGTGGCAGCGAAAGGGTTAAAGACTTCAACAAACCTGCTTGAAAATGGCTAAACATTCTTTGTAAAAGCTTGCCATTCACACTGTTCTTATGCAACATGAAGCTCATGTGTACAAGTGCTTAAAGTTAATGGGTGGAATTTATCAAAACTGGAGCAAACAGAATCTGGAGAAGTTGTCGATAGTGACCAATCAGCTTCTATTTTTTATTCTCAAAGCTTAACTGAACAAACTGAAGAAGGATGCTATTCTAGAAACTTTCTGTGTGATCTTCTCAGCAGCAGAGATCTTGGATGGAGATTCCCTAAGTTGCGACCTAAACATATACCCCAAGAAAGACAACACTGGACTATTTATTTCTTTTTACACCTTTAATCTGCTAATCATACTGGTGGTGAAGAAGGTGGGTAGGCTTAATAAGTTTTGAGCACATCTACTGTATGCCAAAGTTCATATTATTTCAGTAGAATCTTTTGTCACCTTGTGAATGAAGCAACATAAAAGACTGTTCTGAAGCTTGCTGTGTATGTCTTCCAGATAAACACTGGTGGGAAAACCATAGAGGAACGCCGCTCAAGCCTAGATGCAGAGATTGACTCCTTGACCAGTATCTTGGCTGATTTGGAAAGCAGTTCTCCATACAAGCCACGCTCAAGTCAGGTAAACATCACAGTTTGGTATTTACCAACAAATTTTTGTAATATTTATAATTGATGTACTAATAAGGACCTGATCTCATATTTAGAGCTCCTTCACTGTTTTGTCTGGTATCACACACAAATTTGTGTGCTAAGGCCTGTTGCTTTACGGCAGTCCATTCCTTTTTTCATGGGTTCGCAACACCGCTTAATACATGAAAAAATGCCCCCGCTCTATATTTTTGCAACAAAGCGCACCACAACGCACATCTGTGCATTGTGGTTTTGCTGTAGCACATGTGCGTGCATACCTACTGTATCTGAATGATGAGGTTCCATTAAGACTGAATGCCAACACTTATACTGCACGTTACCGTGCATTGGGGTCATGTGCATTAAACGCAGCTTTTAAAATAAATTATTGCAACACAAAGGTCTATAGCAAGTGTAAATGCAAATATTACTGTAGGTAAAACTATTTAGATAGTCTAATTGACATGTTAAAAAATACTGGTTTAAAATGAAATGACCACATGCACCATTTTTGTACCTCCACATAATTATATTTTACATGGTTTCATTATCTTAAATGGTGCAACTTTTTGGAGCACAACTAACTTTATTCTGAACGCAGCTTGAATGGCAGTGCCCATTTTTACTGGCAGAATTCTTGAGATCCATAGCTACAAAGCCACTGAGAAGTTAAACACTTGTTTTACATATTTTTTGCATGAACCATTATGTAATTTTTTTATGATATGCTGTATACCTGTATACAAATACACATGTTTATAGTCCTAGTATACCCCATGGAAAGTTTGACTTGTTCAAGATATTTAAACAGCAGATCTTGATCTACAGATAAAGATAATATACTTAAATAAATATGTCAATAGATGTAATGGTATACATTGAAAAGGTAAGCACACTGTTTGCCTCAGAAGCTGACATTACCCCTGTAGCAGAAATACATTTATGTAAGTGTTTTGTGTAACTGCAAACACGAAGCGCACAGCTCACCCCTATCTCGCATCCCCACAATCGGTGCACGGATGACTCTCCTCCAGAGTAATGGGCTCAAAAACTGTGGAACCAGCACATGTTCTTCCAAAGAAATTCAAACCCAATTCCACATGCATCTGCACAAAGCACAACCACTGTGCGTCAGAAGCTGGCATTACCCCTTTAGCAGAAATAACTTTATGTAGGGGTTTTTTGTAACTGCCACTTTGCTGGAATGTTTGACCACTCTTTCAGGCAAAAATCCTTCAGTTGCATGATATTCTTGGGTTTGCTTGCATGAACTGTCCATTTTAAATCCTGCTACAACATTTTAAAGTGATTCAAATCAGGGCTTTGAGTAGACCATCCATAACCCTCAATTATTTTTCATACGAGCCATTCCTTGGTGGATTTGCTAGTGTGCTTTAGATTATCATTTTGAAAGATCCATTTCTGGTTCAACTTTCATTTTCAAACAGATGGCCTCACATTCTCATCAAGCAAACTTTGATATTAAGTACAAATCATAGTTTCATTGATGCAAGCTGCCCAGGCCCAGAAGCTGCAGTGCAACCCCAAACCATAACATTTCCACCACCATGCTTGACAGTTGGTATGAGGTTCATAAGTTTGCACAAAACATGTTTTCTTTTGTTGTTTCCAAACTATGGGGGTTGTTCACTTTTGAGCCGAGGGATTAAGCCGAAGCTTCGGCCACCGGAGCCCTTTAGGTTCAACCGAACCGAAGGGCTGCTGTACGGACTACTCACAATAGCCCGTACGGCAGCCGAAGTGCTCAGCCAAGCTGAAGCATATGCATTCGGCTGGGCTAAGCCAGAGACACAGCCGAAGCGTGGAGAATGGTCTGCCGAAGCAAACTGTTCCCCCCACAAAATGTAAACAAATAGTAAAGAAAAGGCACGGGGTCCCCCTCCTGATTCATACCAGAACCTTTAGGTCTGGCCACTGTCCTCAAATAACCTGAATAACCCCCTCCTATATCTTTGATTTATAAATCCACTGCACATTGTTCCAGAAGTTGTGGGCTATGCCTATATGTTCAATGACAAACTGTAGTCTTCCTCTAATGTTCCTTTTTTGGACAGCAAAAGCTTTTTTTTCTTGCACACATCCCATGCAGGTTGGATTGGTAAGATCTTTTTTCTGAGTGTAAATGAATACACTTTGACATCAACTGTTGCAAGAGTTACCTGTAGATCCCAAGATTACATGTTGGGGTTCTTATAGACTTCTTTTAGGATCAAATGGCTGAATTTGCTAGGCTGGCCAGTCCTGGACAAATTTGGCAGTCATTTAAAATCTAAATCTAAAGCCATTTGTAGATCATGTGCCTTACAGTGGAATGATTATGATATAATTTGGCAACCTTTTTACCAGACTCATAGGTCTTTAGAAAGTGTGTTTGACCGTGGCATGATTACACCACATGTCAACAGCAAAGAGAACACCAGACCCTAGATATTTGAGCTTTAAACAGACAGGTTCTACCTGAATGCTCCCTAAAAGGTCCTAATTTTTGACACTTAATCTGGAACATCTGGTTCGCATTTTGAGGATTTTAGGCGATGATAAATGGTTGGGGGTGTACTTACTTTTTCCATGCAACAAATCTGCATTTTGGTTAATTTAAAGTGACACTAAACTCAGGAGTTAAATCTTAAAAATGCATTAAAGTACCGTAAAGGAGAAATTTGGGATGTAAAATACACTCATCCCAATAGTTAGAGCTCTATAGATCAAAAACTGAACGATTACAAACCGCTGATCGCTCAGTTCACAATCCTCTCCCTGCAGAGAGCGGTGGCCCCCCTCTCTGTTCCTCCAGTGCTGGTGGAAATTGGTGAGGTGTCAGACATCTATAAAAACACACATACATAAGCTTGAATATCCCTACAGTGCACATTGTGTTAATTCCTAAAGTTACTTCACTGGGCAGTGCACGCAGTGAAGTAGAGTTTTGTCATATAAGCGTAAACGCAGCAAAAATGACTGTTCACTCTCATAGTTCGTTCATTCTAGTTGCTTCTGTTTCTGATTTAAGTTTAGCCTGTTTCTTTCTTTTTTTTTTTTATGTATTTGATTTTGTGTTCCTCGACTGTGACTTACGTAACACTTGACATCTCCAGCCTACTAATAGCAACTCATACGTTTCCAGTCATAAACATGTCTACTAATCCTAATAGGGCACAGTATGGAATGTGGCATAGCTTCCAGCTTCTACTGACAAGCTTTGTAGTGTGACCGCAATCTACTGCGCTTCTTCAGCAAACTGCTCACAATACTTTATTCTTCTGTGGGTTATTTTTATTCACAACATACAGTGATAAACACTAATGTTGCGTGCTTAGTGCCAGAGTGTCACTGTTCTTTAATAAATTAATTTATTTTTAATTTAGGACAACTTTAATCATTTAATTCCTGCTGTGGAGATGCAGATTTTTTAAATCCAACTAGGATCTCGGAATCCATTTGTAGTGGCCTCCAGATTGTATAATGTGCTATCCAAGCCCCTAAAACATCTGTTGTATTTTTTATGCTGTAGTGTAAGCTTTGACATGACATTATCTCCCCTGTTGTAGGTGTCTTGCCACATTTACCTTTAATAATTCCACTAATTAGCTGCTTACAAATTGTTTTATTTGGAGACTGCAATTATTATTGGAATAATTTTTTGCTTTTGGAAACTTTTCAAGCTAGACATATTACATACGATGAAATGAGTATTTATTTATCTCAATATGGTGTATCTCAGACATGTTTGGCTTGATTGTACCTTCACACTTTTTGTATACTCACATTTTTTTATAGAAAGCTTCAAAGCAGTACTTGGGGCAAGATTTACTCAGTGTTCTGGCTGGAAAGTGAAAATCATGTTAAAGAGGCAAATTGCAGAGTTTTAGTGGAGCCTCTGCAGTAAAGAATCTGAGCCTTTGGCACAATCACATTTAGTGGAAAGGACATCTTCTAGTTTATGGGCATAGCGTCCTGTTCTTGCCTGAACTTTGTTTCATGTACACTTGCATGTCTATCTGTCTAGTAGTAACTGAAGCTAACGTGATTAGATATTTGTCTAATCCAGCTATGTATTATATCTGTTGTTCCACTACTTGTTTTAACCATTCCTTTAGTCAGCTAAGTACAGGCACATCATTGTATGAATTTTTATGTTATCACTTTTAAAACATTTTTAACAGGGATTTCTAATATCCCCACAAAGAAGATTAAATTCCTAAACCCTTACATTTATTGTGGTTTGGAAGTGGAAGATACAGTAGGTTTAGAATTATACTTAGTTCATGTTTACTGTAAGAGTATTCAAAAAAGCTTAAAATAAACCTATCACTGACTAAATATATCTAATAATGACACCAAATGTACATAGCTTCCTAAGCACCCTGTGAGCCCTGAAACCTGGGGATATCTGATATGTAAATGTTAATTCTTTCTCTCTCTGTCTCTCTGACAGTCCACTGCTTCAAGCTAAATGATGTTAGCCTGTTCCACTCTTTCCATTGCTTTTAATGTCCATCTTCTGACTCTGTTATCTTGCATCCAATGTTTTGGGATTCTATTACAAGCCTGCCATCTCCTGCATCTCTCCATTGGTTGTTCCTTCAAAGTGATGAACATTCGTAGATTATCCATACTGAATCAAAAGGGGGGGTGGTTAAAGAGGACAAGCCAATCATAACTTGCTTTCTCTGCAAGCGTCACAGGTTTTGGGCCATCTGGGGCACTCAAGGCTTTTTACAGGTCCATGTTGGGGCCCAAGGGGTGCCTCCTTTCCAATTATGGTGACAATTTAGGCAATGTTAGTTACTGACAGGATTAAGTCAGCATATTTTAAAACTGTGCAATGTGCTATTTCCACAAGGCAGTAAATCCTCATCACCTTGTGCATACAAGCTATATTTTTCTGTTACACAGTGGAAATGTCTGCCTGGTCTGAAGAGATGAAAGCAGAGGGCAGATGTAAGTGACACAAGCAGTTGCGTTCAT